ATATATTTATATTGTATCTTTGGGGTGGGGCTTGACCACTTTCAGTAGGTCACCACCTAGTTATTTGTATGTGGCTTTCTGCACTTGGGTGTGTTAAAATGTAATTATAAGAAATCACTGGGTTACCTACAACCCTGTATGGTGAATTCTAGCTGTATAAGGGCCCATTGACTGTGTATTGTCACCATACTGTCACCTCTCCTCAGTGGATGGTTTGTTTGCAAGGCTGGTTATGGATGGATCCCTGTCACCCATCACTGTACTGTCACCCGCCCGCAGCCCTGGAGCTCTGAGCCCATAAGCTCTGATCACAGTGTACACGACATTCTATATTCCAACTGCCATTTGCCAGCCCTGAGCCGCCCCCACCCGCGCCACAGCCACAGCCGTCTCTATGGCAACCAGAGACACCGGAACAGGAAGTTCATGGCAGATTAAGGCTTTGAATCCGTTAAAAGAAGGTTCCGAGCAGAGGAGGAGAGCGGTAAGGACTCGGAGTAATATATAACTATACGACAGTCGTGGCTGTACAATTCCTGCACAAATACCTGTGAGGTACGTCACACCTTCCCCCTCCATAGTCTGTATATATGTCTATCATCAGACCAGACATGCATAATACGATGGTCGGGCTCACTCGTGTGGTATTGCACCTGATATTTCTGGATTCAGTGGGGGGAATGGAGCAGGCAGAATCTGGCACAGTTGCCCATGGCAACCAATCAGTTTCTCTTCAGTTTGCTCAGTTAAGATTTGAATATGAAAGATAGAAGCTGATTGGTATCCATGGACAGCTGCTCCCGATTTAGTCTGTTCCAGTGTTGAAAAATCCCCCATAGTATCTTTTTGCAGAATTAGAGCAATCTCCGTGTTGGTTCAGGCTGATCTACAATATCCTGACCTTGGCATCTTGTGACCAATAAGTTCCCATCATCTGTGGATTCACACTAGAAGAGTTGGGGCACTTTATTTTCCCAACACACAGACATGACGATTTGCTTTGTATTACATTGGCACAATTCACACCCTTGCATTGCGGTGGTGTGCGCTGATTAAAGGTATGGCATGTTGAACTTTTTTTCAGTACAGCGTGGTGCAACACAGAACACTGCGCTGTGCCAAGTAAACTTTATCAAATGTCACTTATGACATTTTAGTAAAGTTCTAAAAAAAAAAAAAAAGCTGTCGCTTGCTATTGCACACTTGCTGGTGTGAACGGGCCCTGAAACATTTAATAAATCTATATAGGTAGAAATATGAATGTGTCTCATTTAACTACATTGTGAAATAAGAATTGCTTCAGTAATATCCTAATATTCCATGAAAGTGACAGTTTAATGTATATTTAAATCCCTGTTTTCTTTTTTCAATTTAAATATGGCAGAGAATGGCTACAACTCCCGATCATTATTATTTTTTTTTTTTACTATCTGTGTCATATTGGGGAGATTTCCCTTGTAGACGCAACAGGAGGTGAAAGAAAATGTCTCCAAAAGTCAGGGCTCTTAGTTGTCACCACAACAGGTGATTAGGTTGGAAGATTTCCCTGTGTCTCTGTTCTGAAGATTGCTCACAAAAAAAATGACAGACTCCGCTGGAAATCTGTGTTGTTGGTCTGGCTCATTGTACTCCGGCAAATCATTCTCAGTAAGGAATAATTGCTGCACTCCTCCAGGCTGCAGCATGAAACTTGTCAGAGGTGTCCCCTGCTGCTATCCAATAAACAAAAATAGTTGCTGTAGCCCAGAGTTCGGTGAATTATCTCCTATTCTGATCCTTTCTCATGGTTGTCTAACTATGCTGCCTGGTGAAATAATGAATGTCCTTTTTTATTTTTTTTTATGATCAGATGGCGCTGCCGACACTACCTTCAAATTGGCACAGTCGTAGCAGGGTCCTGGAGAAACAGATTGTGCACCACAGAGAGCAAGAAGCCCGTTTTCGTAATCAATGGGATACGGCCAATCGATATTTTAAACAGTCAGATGTGTGCAGCAGCAAACAAGCTCAGTGGAGTTCGCGTATTTCCTATGAGCAGAGGTAATGCATTTCACTTAACATTCCATACCCTCTAGTATACAAGATGTCAGGTCTAATAATACCAGTACTACTACAGTTCTTGCTGTATGGAATTGCTTATAAAGGGAGCATCCCTAAACCCGTCCATTGGTTAACAGGAAAACTCCCTAAGTTGGCCACACATGTTACAATCTTCTTATACAATCTCTTTAGTCTGCTTTAAGGGTGATCCCACGATGGTACGATAATCGGCAGGTGTATGGAAGGCGTGCGACCGTTTCTACCGTACGGTCGCACGTCTTTTGTCTTCTGAGCACGCTTGAAAACCTGCTTCAGGAACTAGAAAGTAACAGAAGGTTCCGAGTGACGTAGAAAGGAAGGTGGAGGGACAGGACCTGGCATAGGAGAGTGGCACGAGAGATAAAGACTGTATGCCGGAATGTTAATGTCTCTTTTTTTCAGTATGAACGCTTACCATCGTGAGAAACAGAAAGAAGAGAAAAGGAAGAATCTTGAGCGCCGCAGAGATGAGCTTCGTAAAATGTTACAGGAAGAGCGAGACATGTTGGAAGCCCAACTGAAGGAGCTTTCTCAGAATAGGGAACCTGACCTCAACAGCATGAGAGAACGAGCAGAGGGGCTGAGGTCTGCACGGGAGGAGCGCAGGAAACAGGTACACTAAAGAGGAATTGAGGTAAACCGATCATGAAGGAAATAAAGTGTCTACCATTGCTGACCACCTTTGGAAAATTCTAGTTGCCTGGCTGTTATGCTACTCCACTGGTTTGAAGGGTAAATTTGGGGTGGATAAAATATTACACATTCATATTCTCCCTGATGCTTTTGCATCCTTGTGACACTGGAGCTGAGAGGACCTCAGGCCACTGACTCAGAGTTGAAGCAAAAGGATCAACATAACAGGCATGCTGCTAGCAGTTTCAGAAGATGGGTCAACCGTGGGATTCTCCATGTTTCTCTCATGAAATGTTTCCTTTAAAGATCTGTTGGCACACTATGTTCATTTAGTTTATTCTCTTTTTTGCTGTTTTTTTACTTAAATCATATTTTATTCTTTTGCCACAAGCTTGCAGAGGAGCTCATGTATGATCAGTGGAAGAAGAACAATAGGAAACTACGTGAGGTAAACCTTATCTCATTTCATGGTTTTGATTATCCATACACACCATTGTTACTCCAGAATCATTTTATTTATTTCATCGACACTATAAACAAATTGAAAATGGACAATTGGCAATAAAAACTCTCCATGATAACACAAAATAGGAAAAGGAATCACCAGCACTCAGTAGAATAATCCAACATGTCCATTTATTGGACATAGACGTCACACAATCACAAGAGCCAACGTTTCGAGACCACGCAGGGTCTCTTCATCAGGGCATAAAGAGTGACTCTTTATGCCCTGAGGCATTTTATAGCAATTGTCTTGTATTAAAGGTTGTATAGCCCTATTATCGGGGTGAAGGTAGTTTTGATTTGTAATATAGAGCATGGTCCAATTGGGTTTAATGTACATGATTCTGAAGGTTGATAAGCTCCTCAATGTATTGGCTGAATGAATATTGCTTTCTCTAAAGGTGGAATCCAGTATACATAAGAAGTATGTGGTTGATGCTTGGGGAGACCAAGTAACAGAGAGAAATAAGGTAATTATTTGGCCCTTTCTTAGATAGACCTGTCCTACTATTAAGTATGTTAAATTATCTTTTGATTTTAATGATATAACACAGGAAAATGTGTAATAAAATGGACATTTAAATTTTAGAGTGTGAAAGGGTTATAATCTCTGTCTGTGTTTCATTGGAGATATTTGCTTTTGCTTCCTGCCCTGCAGACATAACAGGAAGTGAATGGAAATCACACACTATGAGGAAATTTCCACGTCACCAATTATATTGGTAATGATAATTAAAAGAGAACTAAAGCTAAAAAAAAAGGTTCTCTTTTGGATCACATGAGTATATTCACCAATCTACTGCTATGCTGACAGCACGGTGCTGCGCTGCAACCACTAAGGGTCCCGAGCACTAGAGGAATAGAGAGGGGAGGGGGATTCCCTGCAAGAAGTGAACACTGACAGTCACTGCTCTCTGCAGGGAGAAGTCCATGACCTGAGCGATCAGCGGTTACATGATCACTCAGCTCTCAATCTATAGTGTTGGGGTAACAGCTTCAGTGTCCCACGCCAGCTCTAGGTATTGGGAAGAGTACATTTTACTCTGCCAGTACTTCTCCTTTTAAAGTCTTAATTCCTCCTCACTTCCTATCACCAGGACAGGAACTGCGGGAGAATCTCCCCATAAAGGACACAGACAGAAATGCAAATCAGTCAGCTGTTTTAACACTTCCCACTCTATCAAAAGCTAATTTTAAAAAAATGTTTGGGTTTTGAGTCAGGATGTATAATATGGTTTGTAATCCATTTAGCTAAAGTAAGCATTTATTTTATAGGAAAAATTAGAAGAGGAAGAAGAGAAGAAGAGGTTTGAGAACCAATATGAACTTGCACGGCGTGAGGCTCTTGAGAATTTGAAAAGAGTAGAGGAGAGACGGCGCCAGACTGACAGGGAACAAGCTGAGGTCCTGCGGCAGCAAATGGAGGAGCTCAAACTGAGGGAACTGGAGGTAAGAAGAGCATCTTGTTAAAGAGTATGTCAAGGCAAAATACATGAAAACAAAACATTTAGCACTTGCCTGGAATACATACATGTATTCATTCATATACATTTCCACGTGTTTTCTCTCTTCACACACACCAAGTACAGAAACATAACAGCTGAAGTGCAAGAAATATAGTGAGTTCTTTCTTTCATCTCTGACATGACAACACAGCTCTGAATTCCTAAGCAGGTGGTGTCAGCCCTGCCTACTTAATTTTTTTTTATAACAGAGAACACAGAACTCATCTTCATAACCTATCCTCCTACATAAACAGAGCACAGGAAGTTATCAGCTCAAAAGATTTTTGGCAAAATCAACACCTATTTTTTGCATTGATGGAACAGATAAAACAATTTTAAAGGTACAGTATATTAAGCAGACCAAAAGGGAGCAAATAAGGACTGGTTCCCACCATGCATTCAGCGCACATTATTGCACATTGCAGTGCACCACATGCTAGGTGTGCTGGTGCTTTGCGCTGCCATTCCTTCTTAATGTCATTCCATGCACCTCCTGACAGGAATGTGTTCCGCTGCAATACACGTTACTACATGATGCGTGCACTATTTTTATTGTTTTTCACCACACGGCAGCCAAGCAAAAGCTAATGTTGTACCGTGCAATGCAAAAAACACCCAGCAGGAGGTGCATTGGGGTGCCATTATGAATGAATGGTAATGCAACACACCTAACATGCGGTGCATTGCATGCACTAAACGCATGGATACTGCACCCATAGCGCGACTCTGTGGTGGAAACCAGCCCTTAGAGAAGATCATTGTTAGGGGTTACATACATTTTGAATATACTTTAGGATTGTAACTTGTATTCTCTGCTTGTAGAGAGTACAATGCTGGATGTGTTGTAGGTGTGTTTGGAAGTGGATGGATGTGTGTGCGTGGCATTCATCTGTATTATGTTAATAGAAAGTTTGCATGGGGTTTCTAGTAACAACGTGTACACATGAACTGGAAGTAATTAGTGCTGGGTAAGCTATGTGTGACTGGGCTTCATTGGAGGGGTTGATTTCTCTAGAGCTTCGGGCACAGTTCTCACTGGATTCTATGTGACAGTATTTTTTTGTGATAATGAATCACAATGAATCCTCCAGAGTTTACATGTGCAATGTTATTACCGAGCCATATTAGACCTAATATGACAATGATTGCACGTATATGGACAATGCATGACTTTCTTGTCTGATTGTTATAATAGGTTGCCAAATCCTGACTTGTACATAACCATACTGGTGGATGTGATCATTAGGCCCCCTACGCAGACAGGATGGATCCTGTCTACGTCCAAGCACGGACACCCGCCCGAATTTCTGCTCGGGTGAGTGTACGGCCGCATACTCCCATAGAGAAGAACAGGCTGCTGCGTACAATCACGCACATCACCTGTTTTTCCCGGGAGCAGCCCGCTACGGCCGTGCACGCCACACGGATCTGTACGGGCCGACACTAAGCTGTGTGAATGAGGCCTTATTCCGATTTTTAGACAATATTTTTGAACACTCTGGCTTTTAGCCTTAACATTTGGCTACAAACAGTATGTGTATGATCAAACTGTTAAGAAATATTGGGAGTCCAAGGTGAATCTTGTGATCCACTTTCTTTTACAGGCTAAGTTTATTATTCAGACTTTGTTAGGTGTAATATGAATCATGGTCCGATCACAGTCCCCCCCCCCAGCTCCACTTATCTAAATCTGAGATTCTTCTCTCCACAGGCTTTACTGGTTCCAATGGCAAAAAATAATAATAAATGCACATTTTTTTGTGTGCATTAATTCTTTTTTATCCTAAAATGTGGAATGTCCCTTTAAAGTTTCATGTAAGCAAACAGCTACATACATTAAACTACTTTTTTGTGAGCGCTCTTACCCGAGGCAAAACGTGTTATTCTAATCATCCAGTATTGTAGTCCAAATATTCCTGCCACACGCTATACAAATCCTGACCATTTACTTTTCTCCATTGGAGTCAGTCGTACAGCTTGCTTAAGGCTGTGAATGGATGGTGAAGTAACAGCAGCTCCCTATTGAGGCCATCTCTGTGTTTTCTCCTCCAGTCAGTAAGTTCCATTTGTTAGATTCACAGTAATAGGAGAACTTAACTGCAGTTACCCTGTGGCTGTTAATGAGACGGCATCAGTTGCCCACAACTGTCCAGCTACTACAGTACATGAATAGTGTCAGAATCCTAAAAGTATGAAAACTAAAGCTGCACTACAGTCATGCAGTTGCTTGCAAAAGTATTTACCCCCTTGGCATTTTTGCTATTTTGTTGCATCTGGAATTAAAATTAATTTTTGGGGGGTTTGTAATATCATTTGATCTATACAACATGCCTACCACTTTGAAGATGCAAAACATTTGTTTTATTATGATACAAACAAGAAATAGGTTTAAAAAAAAACCCGAAAACTTGAGGGTGCACAACTATTTACCTCCCAAGTCAATACTTTGTAGAGCCACCTTTTTGCAGCAATTACAGCTGCAAGTCTCTTGGGGTATGTCTCTATAAGCTTGGCACATCTAGCCACTGGTACTTTTGTCCATTCTTCAAGGCAAAACTGCTTCAGCTCCTTCAGGTTGGATGAGTTTCGCTGGTGTACAGCAATTTTTATGTCATGCCACAGTTTGTCAATTGGATTGAGGGATTGAGGTCTGAGCTTTGAGTAGGCCATTCCAAGGCATTTAAATGTTTCCCCTTAAACCACTCAAGTGTTGTTTTAGCAATATGCTTAGGGTCAATGTCCTGCTGGAAGGTGAAACTCCGTCCCAGTCTCAATTTTTGGCACACTAAACCAGGTTTCCCTAAAGAATGTTCCTGTATTTAGCGCCATCCATCATTTCTTCAATTCAGATCAGTTTGCCAGTCCCTGCCGATGAACACCCCCGGCCCCCCCGCAGCATGATGCTGCCACCACCATGCTTCACTGTGGGAATGGTGTTCTCAGGTTGATGAGAGGTCTTGGGTTTGCCCCAGATATAGCGTTTTCCTTGAAGGCCAAAAAGCTAATTTTAGTCTCATCTGACCAGAGTACCGCCTTCCATATGTTCGGGGAGTGTCCTACATGCCTTTTGGCAAACATGTTTGTATATTTTTTTCTGTCCATTCTTCCATGAAGGCCAGCTCTGTGGAGTGTACGACTTAAAGCGGTCCTATGGACAGATACTTCAATCTCCGCTGTGGAGCTTTGCAGGTCCCACAGTGTTATCTTTGGTCTCTTTGTTGCTCTCCTTGCATGGTCCGTGAGTTTTGGTAGGCAGCCCTCTTGGCAGGTTTGTTGTGGTGTCATATTCTTTCCATTATTTAAAACATGGATTTAATGGTGCTCCGTTGGGGTACAAAGTTTCTGATATGTTTTTTTTTTTTTTTAACCCAGCCCTGATCTGTACGTATCTACAACTTTGCCCCTGACCTGTTTGGAGAGCTCCTTGGTCTTCATGGTGCTGCTTGCTTGGTGGTGCCCCTGGCTCAGTGGTGTTACAGACTTTGGGGCCTTTCAGAACAGATGTGTGTGTGTGTGTGTGTGTATATATACTCCGTTCATGTGACAGATTGCACACGGGTGGTCTTTATTTACAAACTATGTGACTTCTGAAAGCAATTGGTTGCACCAGATCTTATGTAGAGGCTTCATCCATTTATTTTTTATTATTTCTTAAAACAAGTTAATTTCTTGATTTCACTTCAACATTTGAGACTAATTTTGTGTAGGTCCATTACATGTAATCCACATAAAAATCCATTTTAATTCCAGGTGGTAATACTACAAAAAAGGAAAAATTCCAGGGGGGGTTAATACTTTTGCAAACCATCTGTATGTGAACATTTGGCATTCAGATTCTTTGGAAGGAGTTTAGCTTCTGGATAGCTGTGGATTTTATCCTGGTATTATTCTTGTGCAGCTGCCTACCCTGCTCGCTAAATCCCTAGACTTGATTAAGTAGTCCAGTGTGTTCTCCTGTAGCGCCTCCCTTATTTTTAGCCTGCCACACTCTTCCATACACACATTAAAGCAGGAAAGGGAGGTTGCACAGCACAGAATGCCATCACAAGAGGATGCACTTCTTGCGATATTTCAGAATCTGTCTGAAAGGGATTATATACATTCAGTTTAAAATAAAAATGGCAACGTCCTCTTCATTGTCCTCTAAGTTTGCTTGTAAGCATAAGGCATTGGTTCATTTATTTATTTTTGAACTCAGTCCTTCTTGTTCAGCATACTATTGTTGGCAAATCTTGCAGCAAGCGAGCCCATTCCTTTTACTTTGTTGTGTAGGAGACTGATGGAGGATAATCTGTGTCCTCTTACTATCAGGGTACAGTCTGCTGGTACCCCACCAGGTTCCTCTGAGACTGCCTCCAATTCTCAGGGAGAAATCTGCCCTTCTATGCCCACCCTGAGCTTTGTGTGACTATAAATCTTTCTTGGAGCTTTTCTATATTTACATTTATTTATTCATTACTGATATTAATATAGCGCCGTCAATTTACACAGCACTTACGCCACATGATGCCGGAGCTTTCTATGCAGTTCTTTGTGATCAGATTATTCGTTCTAATAAACTGTCTCAAAACAGCCTGCATTGTGTTTAAGGGGTAGCATATCAAATGCATATCTAACGTGCTCACTCACTGGCATCTTATTAGATAAAGCTTGCCATTCACTGAACAGCGTGGATGGATGAATCTCCCACTTCATCTGTTGAGCTCTGACAGCTGGCACCTGTTTTCTGCCAGAATACATCAACAGTGATGGCAGCTGATTGGCTGCAGTCCCTGTTCAGCCCAACATTTTCACCTGGCTCTTTGAACAAAAGTAGATTAACTGACTTTTGTTGAGTCAGTAGAGCCGCCCACTGTAAGAATTTTGTGCGATTCCTTTGAATCAGCCGAACTTCTGTATTGGCAGCCTTTGTAAGGTTATTTCAGACCTAGTTTGCCCTACTGTCTGGATAATATGTGATTTTTATTTTTATATATCTGACTTTCTGTTGAACACAACTATGAGTTTTTCACCAGTGGAGAACACTCTCTACAATAACTGTTTCAACTCGTGTTCAGTTGTAAGACGATTGCACTTTATTTATAGGCTCAGAAGCTGAAGAAGGAACAGGAGGATTTACTAAGACAGCAGTGGGAAGTGGAGAAGCTGCAGGAGGAGAGGAGGAAGAATGAGGAAAGACGTAAAAAAACAGAGCTTGGGTATGGAATAAACGAGTAGAAATGTATAGGAGTTTGTCAATGCAGAAGAAACTACTACTATTCACACATTCAGAATGGCTGATTCACCCAAATAAGCAGAGTCAGGTCATTGCTAACTATTGCAGTCAGAATCACTATACAGTCTCTAGGTTTCCTTTGATCATTCAACAGTCATTGCATGTCATTCACAAAATGCCTCTCCATCTGTGAATATATATTCTAGAATTGACAAGCTGGTATTCAGTTTACTTCATAGTGTGGTTGAAGTCAGGAAGTACAAAATGATTGGTACATATTCACACATAATGTTTTATGTGATGTATAAGACTAAATGCCGTAATAACTCTTTTTCATATGATATTCATTTCTTAGTCATTTCTTGAGTCGTCAGTATACAGCTCAGATGAAGAGGAGAGCCCAGATGGTACAAGAAGAACTGGTAAGACATACACTTTATATACTTCATTGGGGCTGAATGGGAAAAAAAAAACCAGATTCCTTTAGCCACGCTTCAAGGAATCTCCGACTGCTGCTATTGGATTTTGACAGCCGGCTGTCAAAATACCTGAAGAGTGCCTGAAAAGCATCTGATTGAAAGCAGGCACTGTTCGGATGACCCCCGCTTGGCTCGTTTGATTTTTCAAATGAATGTCAGATGGGAGCCGGCAGACAGGGCCACCCTCTGAGCGAATTTCGGCTGGTTCATCAAGTGTATAGCCAGCTTTAGAAAAGGAAAAGCTATACCTTTTTAGCTCTGTATTTTGCCTGTACAGCCAAGGACTGTGTAAGGCCTGAACCTAGCTTTTTAGCAAGCTGAGCGGAAATGACCTGCATTATAGAACTTACCGAGTATCTATGACACAGGTAGCAATAAGTTTATTGAGGCAGCTGGCTGCAGACCTCCGAGCCGCTAGCCCCGCAGACACTATAGAAGGGGTAGCCAAACTGCGGCCCTCCAGCTGTGGTGAAACTACAAATCCCATGCATCTCTCTCCGGGAGTCGTGGCTGTGAGAATCTTGCAATGCCTCATGGGATTTGAAGTTCCACCACAGCTGGAGGGCCGGAGTTTGGCTACCCCTGCACTATACAGAGCCCAAGCTACAGCTACACAGACTCTCAGTTGTGAGGATGGGGAACTTTTAATACTTTGGGTAACAAACTCTTGGATCTATGATGATTTTTTTTTCTTTGATGTGTATTTCCACTTTTGCAGCCAAATTGTGATAACACTTATTTTATATTTGTTACGTGTTGCCATTCCCATAACATAACCTATGCTATGTGAACGGGAACATGCTATTATGAAATAAATATTAAACATTACTGTTCCTTCTAATTTGCTGAAACCTCCTATAAAAATCTTACTTAGCTGACCCTTTTATTAGGGGAAGGCTGGGTAGTCATGTTTAACATAATTAACTCTATCTGTACTGTGCTGGCTGTTCTTGTTATCAGAGATGTGTGCCTGTGTCTAACAAAGGGTTAGAAATGTCAAGCCAGGGTAGCACATTGTATGGTAATGTACTTTTAAAAAAAACAACTGTTCCTAAAGCCAAGGGGTATACACGGTTATATTTTCTTTGTTTAGCTTGCAGGTTGAAGGAAGAAAATATAACCGATTTCTCCATCAATGCTTACGAGCATGGATGGAGGAATCCCCTGCTTTGATTAGCTAATAAAGGGATGCCAGGTGGAAGGGTGCTGACAGGGGCACCCACTGTGCACATTTTGGCCTGTTCAGCCCTATAGTGTATTGTTCAGTCAGTTATTCTGAACAATACAAGCTACCTATAGAGTCCTTGGTGTAATCCTGCTGTAAAGAAACAACTAGAAAGGTAAAAATATTTTGTAAATTATTTGTATATATGCTGTATGAACGGGAACACTGCATAACTTAATGGGGTATGTAAAATAGTGGGTGTTTCTTAACTTTGACTGTAAAAATGGAAATACACTTTAAAATACTAATCAAAATAGTATAAATAATGCATGGAATATTCGCTTTACTTCTCGTTTGTATGTTTTGTACTGTGACCATTCCTCTGATTGGAGCATTTGTGGTGTCTTTGCAGGAAATGGACATGAAGATCCTCTCTGCTCTGATAAGTAAGGAGGATGAAGAACAACGTCTGCGCTCTGCTAGAAGGGAGCAAGCTGCCGCTGATGCAGCATGGATGAAAGGTGTTATCGAGGAGCAGCTTCGTCTGGAGAGACAGAGGGAGGCAGAAATAGATACCATGTTTAGGTGAGTTTACACAATTCCTTTTCACAATCGGAAAATGCAAACACTGGCTTTTAATTTTGCAAAATGATTATACCCAGCAGTAAAATTAGGAATGGTACATTGGTCTTTAGTGTGAAAAAATGATCTCATCCAAATATCGCCCCCCCACCTTCACACTAAACCCCCATAACCCCTAAAATTAAGGCTTATCCCTGATCTTAAAGGGGTTCTAAACCCTCCCGTTTTTTTGCCTATATCTACTGCTATCAAGCAGTAGATATAGGCAAAAAATTAAAAAACGCTTTAACAGCGCTTAACACTTACCTTGTTTCGGCTGCGTGCTCCCGTCCGATAAAACAAAACTGCTCCAGCGGTGCGGCCGCAAAGCATCTTGGGGCGGGCGCATGCGCGGTTTGGATTCTCGGCCGGGAGACGAGCAGAGACGCAAGGTAAGTCTATGGACACGTGCACCCGCATGCACACGCCGCTGGATCGGAAGTGCCTGCAGGGACAGAGCAGTCAGCGCTGGATCTGGAGGGACAGATGAAAACATGGGGAAAGAAGAGGAAGATCGGTTTAAGAGATCATTTAAGGCAAGTGCTAACATAAACAGGGGGGGAGGGAAAAGATTTATCCTTTAATGTCACTTCAAGCCTTAACTCATCAAATGCTTCAGATGTGAATTTACATTCATTTTTGATGTGATGACATAGGGTTTCTATTAGGGATGCGCAGATATCATTTTTTCAAAACCAAGTACTGTTCCTCAAGTACTCGCCGATACCAATTAACAAAACTATTTTTTAAAGTGACGTGTGACATTTTTCTAAAACTATACAGGCTAATGATTTTAGGACAGTGGCAGAGCATCAGGGCCCAGTCATAGCTGCAACCGCTGTGACCCTGGTAGTTCTGCAACTGATGCCAAGCTAGAGGGACTACAAATCCCAGCAATACATTATACAGCAATGCAGAATACCATCAGCTATAGAGGACAACAAATCCCAGCAATCCATTATACAGTAAAGCAGATTAATATGAAGCTACATACTCTGTGTTGCACACCAGGGCTGTGCGGAGTCTCGGGAGGCTGTAACGGTCTCGCCAGGGCTATAACTGGGTCTCAGGAGCCTGTGAGGAGTCTCACTAGGACTGTGTGCAGGTCTCCCCAGGGCTGTAACAGGGTCTTGGGAGGCTATGAGGTATCTGAACCAGGGCTGCACGGGGTACGCTTTTGGGTCTCGCCAGGACTGCATTCAGTTGTCGCCAGGGCTGCATGTGGGTCTAACCAGGGCTGTGTTCGCTGTAGAGCTGCAACAGTTAAATCGATTTAGTCGATTAAAATCGACGATGGAAAACGCTGTCAACGTTTTCCGTCGTCGATTCGTCGGCTATCGATTAGCCTGTTCGGGGCTCCACACACGGCCTGACTAGTCTCTGGATTTGTAAATATACATATAAATTAACTTAATTAGTTTATTTTAGTCATTTACATATGAACTGGTTGAATTAAAAAAAACATTTAGAAAGTGCTGCCAATAAATGCATACCAGTAGATGCCTTACTAGTGCCCAACTGGTGTTTGTGTTGTTGCCATGATGGTAACATGGAGGCTGACGTTGCTGACCACTCCTTCTGAAAATGCTAGTTGCTTGGCTATATGCATACTTGTTCCAGATCAGTGACTCAAACTTTTAAGGCCAGAGTGTTAGCATAACGGCCAGTCAACTAGCATTTTCAGATGATCAGAAGTGGCAGCCTTTGCCTCACATGACTTCTCACATATTTTAAAGGTGTCTGCTGACTTCCAATTTCTCCAACACTATTCTAATGCTTGTTACACATTCCAGTTCTGAATCTCTTCCAAATTCACTAACAACTATATAGTTCATGGGCCTGCCTGATAGGATAGCAAATAAAAAGATTACTTGGACAAGCCCCAGCACTGTATAGTTGATGGTAAATCTAATGACGATCACACAATCCCCATCCTAACACAAAGACAATGCAGAAGCCTTATGTCATATGAAATCAGTTCACACCAATGCTCTGTGTTGTGTGTGCTGGAAAAAAATAAGAATTGGTAGAATTTTTGCACTGTGCAGCGCGTTCTGACGTATTCCAAAGACTCGCAGTGTAAGACAAAAGCATTACGTTTAAAAAAGGTCATGAAAAGTCACCGCAACATGTGTTAGGAATGTATTGTGGCACAATGCAAGTCAAATGCTAACATACACACAATTATGTGGACGAGTTCTGAATGTTTGCCACCTTGATATAGTAACAAACTCTCCTACATTGGGTTAACTGATTAGAAAAGCGGCCTTTGCCCACTTCTGTGGTCTTTAAGTAAATGACAGTTCCTCAGGCATGCATTTCATATATGATAGTCACGGCAATAAAAACTATCCCCTAACAATGAACGCAGTGCAAGGCATGCTCAAGCAGCTGTGACCACCTCAATCCATGTACAAGCTCTGATGACACCTCATGCTGTCTGCACTGTACTCACTGTTAAATATGGCTCTAATGACATTTAAGTATCAGTGATTAATGTCCAATGCTGGCTTTGTTACGGCAGTAACACATATTCAGCCTTTTTGTTATTTATGCTTCAGACCATATAATTAACCAAAAAAGGTCACTTAGGTGACATGCAATATATAAAAAAAACAAAAAACTTTATTTCAAACCTGCACCAGAAGTTAACATTTAGGGGTTATTCACAAAAGGGTGAAGCGTTTGGAGAAGACAGGAGAAGTGAACAATCTAGGACAGTGGTGGCGAACCTTGGCACTCCAGCTGTGCCAAACTACATATCCCAACATGCATCTGCCTCTGGGAGTTATGTCTGTGGCTGCCAGAGCCTTGCAATGCCTCATGGGACTTGTAGTTCCAAAACAGCTGGAGTGCCAAGGTTCGCCATCACTGATCTAGGACAATATAACTGAATTGGAAAAATTCTCCAGTTCTACTCACTTTCCAGTTCAGCTCTGTTGTCATAGATTGGTAACTTCTCCGGCCTTCTCCAAACTCTTCACCCTTTTGTGAATAAGCCCGTTAGTGAATAGAAGCTTGATTGGTGGCTGTGGGATCTAAGCTAAAGCTGGCCATAGATTGGCAGATATATCTTCAACAACGACAGATGGGGGTGATCTCCAGAGAGAAAAACAATTTGAAGAGGTGCTGGAATTTCAGTGCCTATTCAAATGCGTTGAAATCTTCTAATGCCGTTACTGGATCTGGTAAGGCAGCTCTCAAACACAGGACTCCCTAGAGGGAAACTCGGAATCAACAGTCAGGCTTTAAAGGAGAACTATGGGGTTAAGTCTTTTCCCCATAGTTCTCCTAAGGGTAACGGGAGGACACAAACTAGCGTCCTCCCGTCACCCTAAGCTCAGTATACCGCCAGCTACAGCTCGCGGTATACTGAGACGCTGAAGCGGATCCCGACTATGTCTGGATCTGCCCAGCTGCGTGAGTGATAGCTGGCTCTGCCCATCTAGAGGCAGAGCCAGCTGTGCCCGCCCCTCCCCCGTCCGTTCCGCCAGTCAGCGCTGGCGGATCGGAGCGGGGGGAATCCAGCCCCTCCCCTGTCACGGCAGAGAGCCGTGACAGGATCGAGAGGTGAGCGAACGCCGGTATGTGTTCGCTCACCTCCCGATCTACTGAGCCGACCTGTGACAGTCTCATTGTCACAGGTCGGCTAGAACTATGAGGTGAGTGAAAAGCACTCGCCTCATAGTTCTCCTTTTAAACGCTGCTGTTGAGTCTTGTTAGAAAACAATGGCTTTATAAGGGTTCATTCACATGCATCTGTATGGTGTGCACGCCCATGCAGAGACCTGCTCCTGGGAGGGACAGGTGCTGCATGTAATTGCATGCAACCGTCTGTACCTCCCTATGGGCTGCACATGGCTACATGCCGACCCAAACCTGCACACTGTCTGCATCTAAGTGTGGGCACCTGGACCTACAGGGATATACAGATCCTGGTCAGTGTGTAGGTACAGGTGGCTGTGTGCATTTACACGCAGCACTTGACCCTCCTGGGAGCAGGTCTCTGCATGGACATACATGCCGTATACATGTGCATACCTGTGTGAATAAGTATGTTTTGTGTGTCTGCTAACACTGTTTACTTTGCAGAGAAGAAGCTAGACAAGTGTGGGAGAAAAGAGAGGCTGAATGGGAGCGGGAGCGGAATGCAAGGAACCGACTCATGAAAGAGGTAACTGAAGCCATGGATTATGTTGTTTACTACAGGATAGTATATATTACTAGCTACTCTTCATCATAGACAAGTGTTTATTTTGCAGCTGTAAAATGGGAGGTTATTCTTCCTGAAGTTTAGAAAGTTTGATTCCAGTTTTTAAGACAAGTATAATTGTATAGCAGCCTTAGACATCACTTTGACATAATGGCCAAAGCAGTAAACAAAGACATACATTCCCAGATTACAGAGAGGTGTAACTACATATGTATCTCCACATTCTAGAGATCCTTGACTCTCTAACCTCCCTCTAAAGCTGAACACCAAGCTGATATAAAAGACACAAGTAAATGTACAGTGCTGTATTCATTAAAACAGACTTAAATGTATATATTTAATACAAGCAGTGGAAGTACCTGAATTTAAGTTGGTATTAGCCTCTTGCAGTCCTTGCACAGCAGAACAGCTTCTTCTTTCACGGTCCAGTCACAGGTTGGGTGTGTGGGGAAGTTAGGAGGGGGTTGGGGGACTGTAAGTGTCACTGAACTGCAGCAGAAACAAATTGGGTCCCTTCCCCTGTCAGACAGGACTGTGGTGTGGCAGAACTGTGTAAATCTAAACACGTATAGCCAGAAATACAAATGGCAAATACAACAGCTCCCATATATATTTCATCTGTGTATTGATCTGTTTTCCTGGAGTATTAAATATGATTCCACTACAACAGCTGTTTTCTAAAACAGTAACTGACCCCACAGCATACTAACTGCATTCATAGTAAGAAGATATTATTCAAACTGATTTGTTAAATAGCTGGCAATTGAAATCACTTAGCTAGAATGCACTGGCCCATCTCTGCTGCTGGGCACAAGCAGTCATATGGTTCACTATGGCTATAGTAAGAGTAACCCTCTATTTTTTCCTTTTCCCAGGTTCTACATGGGAGACAGTTACAGATTGAGGAGCAGATAGAGCAGAATAGACGTGCTCAGAGGGAATCCTTAATGTCTCGTGAAGAGCTTATCAGAGAGTTGGAAGAAGTCAAACAGTTGACCTCTAGAGACAAGAAAGCGGAGGAAGAGCAGAAGACTGCACGTAGATTGGAACTGGAGACACAGGTAACCTGAAGTATATGTTTAAACCATGACGAGTACAGAAAAATACCTGTTGATGTGCCAAACAAGTGTGCTCCTGACAGTGCAGTGCCTCTGCTGCACTGAAACCCTAATCAGTATTGTCATCCCTGCCTGCTGGATTACAGAACACCTCCTAGCCCCGCAGTTCTCTGTTCCCCTCCACATGCATATATTGGTCTCTTTCCCAGCAAAACAAAGCTGCTGCTGACTCCCAAGAGCCCAACCGTGTATATAGGGAATAGGCTCTCGAGATGTAGTTGTGGGTGCATACTTACGTCAGTAGGAACTGAGCTCCCAGCTTTTGCAAGGGCAGCTGTTTCTTGCCATAGGAACAAAAGAAAAGAAAAAATGATGGGACATAATCTAGAGGAGAGGAGGGAGAGTGAAGGCTAAATTTGGGCATTTCCCTGACCTACATTATAACTGTATCTCGAATCTCTTTTGGAGATCTAACTGGGGAAGGGGAGGAGGCATACATGGTCAGATCTGACACAGAGAATGGCAGATTGAAAGAGTTGCCATTTCTGCACTGATGTGATCTCTGCCACAATCTTTGGACAATTTTCTTTTGTGGTACATAGGCAGTATGAAGATCTGTCCCTTTCCTGTAAAGAAAAGGGAAACATTGGCTATCGGGAGCTGGTGTTTATTAGAGGTCAGATGACCTCTGACATTGCGATGACTTTGGATTGGAAAGGAAATAGTTGTTTTGAGTTCTTTGTGCCCACTACCTGCTAAATTACATTTTGTAGATTTCTGAACATCGCATGAAAGAAATGGAGGAGATTCTACGCCAGGAAGAGGAGGAACAAGAGGAGAAGTTAGCAGAAAAAGAAGATGATGATTTAGTAGAACAAGAGGCAGAAATCATGACACAAAGAGGTTATCAGAAAAAGGTAACTGGTCTTCTAACATCAGCTGTCTGCTTTGTACACAATATTAATGGGGGGAAGTTTCTACCAGCCTGTGGTGATGGAAAAACAAATGTGAAATCCAGATCTTGAAATACGACCACTAAAATGACCATAGCTGCATACTGCCCACTCTTATCTTCTTTGCCAGTGTTCTCTGAAAAGGATTATAGCGATGGCAAATAAGCTGCTGCTAAGAATTCGTTTGTCCTTGACTTATGAAACACTGTAACCAAATGTATTATATATAATTTTTGGAGACCTATATCTTTTGGTGCTATTTAATAACCCCTTTTTATTTTTTTACTATATTAAAGGAAAAAAGTCCAAAATACTGAAAACAATTAAAAAAATAAATAATTTTCCTTACTTTCTGTTCTAAAACATGGCAACGTGACCTTGGGACAGCGCTATCACCGGAGGCTTGGTGCCAAATCTGGTCTTCCATGGCCACATGTACCATCAATGTGACCTCACTCGAGACCGCTTTCAGATCTCTTACAAGATATGGCTATAAACCTCAGAAAATCATCCAAAATACTTACAGGAGACACATTTTTGGTGTGTAAACAATAGTTACCTCTTCTGTGGTGTACCCCATGGCTGAATCACCACTCTGTCCGTTAATATCACTATTTTTATTTACACTGGATAGTACAGCTTCAATACGAGAGCTACAGCCCTAAAACATGACAAAGCTAGTTTCGTCTATACGCCCCTCTCTGCATGGCTGCCAGATCTATGTAAATTTCTTATTAGAATCCTGAAGAACACTCGTCAATTTTTCATTTAGACAGAAAAAATCCAGTATCTGGTACCTTCCAGAGTAGCCCATCTCCATCCTACGCACTCGGCCACCTGCTTTTGGGAATGTTCGACCCAGGGTGACGTTCTCCATACATAGTGGACATGCTCCATGCTTACTAGATTTTGAACTAAAGTATTCCGCCTACTGAGCACTTTATTTTCTATACCAACCATAACAGGGACCCATGGTTGTCCCTTTTACATCTCAAACCCTTGAACCTCACTAGAAACCAACACCACTTGACTACCTATGTAATGCTGGCAGCTAAGCAGGCTATCGCCTCCGCTTGGAAAAAGCAATTTGTACCATTTGATGAAGTAAACGGCCGTTGGATTTTTTTTCTGTCTAAATGAAAAATTGACGAGTATTCTTCAGGATACTAATAATAAATTTACATAGATCTGGCAGCCATGCAGAGAGGGGCGTATAGACGAAACTAGCTTTGTCATGTTTTAGGGCCGTTGCTCTTGTATTGAAGCTGTACTACTCGGTGTAAATAAAAATAGTGATATTAAAGGGCAAAGTGGTGATTCAGCAATGGGGTGCACCACAGAAGAGGTAACTATTTACACACCCAAAATTTGGCTCCTGTAAGTATTTTCGATGATTTTCTGAGGTTTATAGCCATATACAGTTCATAGCTTCAGTGTTAATGGTTTTAGGATTAATATATAAAAAAGGAGCAGGTAGAATGGCCACTGGGTGACCATTATTTTCCCCTGTGGGTAAGAAAGTAAAATCTAACCTTTGAATAGCTGCTATTTCCTCTGTCCAACATTTCTGAAGGTGTCCCAGTGTGTACTGTGTATTGATGGCTGAGGATTGTGATGTATTTCATCTCTTGTTTTCTGTTCTGCAGGTGTTTGGTCGCCCCAGACCTGCCTGGTCTTGACAGCAGTAAACTCGGAGCTTGACAGATCAACCATCTCAGTTGTTTGAGACCAGGAAAAAAAACACACAGCTGTATTTTTGTTACAGGATTTCTTTGTAAATTGCTTTTCATTTGACTGTACATAGGTTTTAATAATGTGTGTATCTGTTTGTGAATTATAAAATATCTTATATGAGGGATATTTTTTTTACTACTTGTCTTCCTTATCAAACAATACATTTGCACTTTCAAGGGCTAGGGACACCCAGGCTGATTTCAGTAGCACATTTGCAATACTACAAATAAATGAATGCATCAATTGCACTAGTAGAACGCAGTCTAAAGAATGTTTCCTTTACTGGCTTGAGTAATTACCTAAAGTAAAGAAACCACAGACGAGTATCTGTAGGGGCCCCAAGGGTCACGTTTTGGAGGAGTGGTGGGACTAAAGTCCTGAAGCTGGTGTTGAGCTGTAAACATGTAGGTCATGTCAGTTATTGATATAATACTAGTTGTCCTATAAAACCTGAAGTCTTTCAAATTGCCCTGGTTCTGGATACCACTGTTCTATGTTTTTCACATAGAGGCACATCATTTGTTTTTGCACATTACTTGAATTACATTTTTATTTCTCTTTTTACTGTAATGATTTCTATAAATGTATTTGTTAAACATGTTTGTATTTCTCTTCCGTTACTTGAAGCACACAGCGGACATCTTTAAATCTTGACCATTGGGTTATATAGTACAGTGGCTTAGTGGTTGGCACTTCTTCTTTGCAGCACTGGGGGTCCCTGGTTCAAATCCTGGTCAGGACACTCTTTGCAAGGAGTTTGCATGTTCTCCTTGTGCTTACATGGGTTTCCTCCGGGTACTCTTATTTCCTCCCACACTCCAAAGACATGCTGGTAGGTTAATTGTCTAAATTGTCCCTGTATGCATATGAGATGAGATAAGATTGTAAACTCCTCGAGGGCAGGGACTGATGTGAATGTGCATGCTTAAATTGTCAGCGCTATATAAATAGTGGGGCTTCAGGAGTAGGACACGGGGCACAAAAACACAGGTTAGGGGCAGCCTCTGACAGTAGCCAGACCCTCCATCTGCTAGAGGCAGCACAGTTTTTTTTGCATAGTTTAACTACCTCCCGGCCAGCCGCTGTGTATACACGGCCTAACGGACCTAAGCGCTCTGCTTGGAATCATTTAATTATTGTTTTGTCCGTCTTCATACAACATCTGAGCTTGGTGACAAGCTGGATAATATAGATCCTTGTAATCCCCCCAGCTTAGCCATCAACACTTGTGGAATGCCATTTGCAAATAGAAGCCCATCTTTGAGGCTGTTGCCAGTAGATTTGATGCTGTAGATGGTTCGCAGTTGGGGGATCCATGGATTGTCTACTGACTTTCTGATGTGGCCACAGGCCAGGAGTATTTGCACAGTGGGAGGCAGGTGGGTGTGTATTCGTCTAAGTTTGTGGGTCCACTCACGAGCAAGGGAGCTATTTTGTTATGAGAAAATTGTAGTGTCCACATACCTTGGGAAAAAGTAGAATAGTATCCTCTTGTATTCATGGTCACTGGAAAATTACCCTTTAAACTGGTCATTGGGACACTAGCTCCTTTCATTTTTGGTTAGTAGAAAGAGCAATGCCCACTTACATTGGTTTACTGGGTAAAAAAGACCCCTTTACATTGGGGGTCATTAGGAGGAAGATTTACCATGTTGGTCCTTGAACGTAATGCCCATTTTGTACAGCTAAAAAAAAGTTTTTGGCAGTGATTACTTATCTGGGAGACGAGACGTTCCTCTGTCCTGCACTGTTGGTTCTAACAAGCCAATTCCAATTGAAGGACAGCCCTGAAGAATTCTGAGACGTAGAGTTATGCTGCTGCCTGCAGGAGAAATGAACACTAGGCAAACACTTTAAGGACATAACCCCTCTAGAGCTGCAGCTAACGATTATTTTCAAAATCGATTAGTTAGTCGATTATTAAGTGCGGTTAATCGGATAAATTAAAAAATACATTTTTAAAAATGGATTCAGTGATGTACTAGTTTGTATTGAGATTGCAGGCCATCACAGGAGCAAGCCTGGAGCGGTGGAAGTAAAAAAAAAAGAAAAAAGTGCAGAATGCCACCAGCTATAGAGGAATACAACAAATCCCAGCAATAGTACTTTATAGCTGGCGGTATTCTGCATCGCGCTGTATAATGTAGTATTGCTAGATGTTGTAGTCCTCTATAGCGAGGGGTATTTGGCATTGCACCACTGTACAATGTATTATTGCTGGGGTTTGTTGTACTCCTCTATAGCTCAGGGTATTCTGCATTGCACCACAGTATAATGTATTTTTCCTTGATTTGTAGTCCTCTATACAGCGCAATGCAGAATACCACCAGCTATATAGGAATACAACAAATCCCAGCAATACATTATACATACAGTGTATAATGTATTGCTGTGATCTGTATTCCTATGTATAATATACAGCACAATGTACCATCAGCTATAGAGGAATACAAATCACAGCAATACATTATAGAGCATGTGGGGGTTCCAGCAACTTGTTTCTGAGATCGATCCTGTCTATCTGTTGCTGTCATCCGCCCACACCTGCTCCTCCTTACTTCTCCCCACGTCCCTGTGCCGATCGTGAATTTGGGAGGGCGATGAGCGTGAGGCGGGGAGGAGGTGCGGCGTGTTGAGCGTGGCTGCGGGCGGATCTGGCAGCGGTGAGGTGGGGAGGAGGTGTGGCGCGCAGCGTGTGTGGAGCCGTGAACAGGGCCAACCAATCGGAAGCAGATTAATCGATGATTGAAAAAGTTGACAACTTTTTCAATCATCAATTATAATCGATTATGTCGATTAGTTGTTGCAGCCCTAAACCCCTCCACGTCACACTTGCTAGTTTTGCTTAGTTTCCTCAGGAGAATAGATGTCTTCTTCTCTTCTGGTTTATTATTTTTATTTTGTTTCTTCATTGCAGTTTCTGCTCCCAAGAGCTGCTAGTTGATTCATACCGGATGTTTTTAAATCTTGGGAGACTCTCCAGCTAGGGGACAAAGCAGAGATTCATGCCTGATAAGTTACATAGTATTTGAGGTTTGAATAAAGACAGTCCATCAAGTTAAATCCTTGAAGGTTCTCTAGTTGCCATGAACCAGGTCATTTCTGTTCTTGGTACTTATGCTTCGTCCTGTGTTCCTGTCTTTATCATTTAATGGTCAGGCCAGTATTACCTGGGCATTCCTTTTGTTGTGTTGAACAGGGCCATGGGGTCGTGAGTAAAACATTTTTTATTTACCTCATGTTTTATAAGGTTAGGTGTTTTCCCTCCTTTTTTATTTGCTTGGACTGTGTGCTTGTAGACTCCCATTTGGCTAAATGCTTTTATGTGGAGTTTGACTGATTTTATAAGAGGCCAAGACTTCGATTTGATAACGCACTTGTTTTTATCTACTGTGCAGCATGTGCGAGCATGTACAGTCCGTTTTTCTTGTTTCCTCAGAATAGTGCAGTTCGTTTCTATGAGCGGTGAAGGTGGACAGAGCAGATTCCAATCTGCTTCCTTTGTTTCTTACTTGCCCTCAATTTTGTGTTGCGTATTGGGGAGAACAGAGAATAAGTGTGTTTTATTATTACACAGCCATTGTTCAAATATTCTGTTGTCTGTAGCAGGTGGTTGTGGTACCTCATGTGTTTTTCCTCACTTCGGTTGTGGCCGTGAGGATTATTGAGTCTAAAAATCAGAATTGTCTGAACAGACAGTCATTAGCAGGGCACTGCGTGAAAGTGATTTTTTTTTTTTCCTTTCCTACCCGTGTGTTACTCCTGCTTTTATTCAGAAACTTGTGACTTTTGTGAATTTTTATAATGGTGTCACTGATGTTTCTGGTTCTTCTGTCACAAGTGGGACCTGTACAGTACAAGGCCTCCGAGGTGTTGCTATTGCTTGTCACAAACACTTTACCATATCATTGATGCAATAGCTGGGCTGTGGCAGATTCACTCAGCCTAAGAAACTAATGGTTGCTTTCTTAAAGGAGAACTATGGGGTCAGTGTTTTTCCCCATAGTTCTCCTTAGGGTAACGGGAGGACACAAACTAGCGTCCTCCTGTTACCCTAAGCTCAGTATACCGCGAGCTACAGCTCGCGGTATACTGAGACGCCGCACCTGGAGCGGATCCCGACTTAGATGACGGGATCCGCCCAGCTGCGTGAGTGACAGCTGGCTCTGCCTACCTAGAGGCAGAGCCAGCTGTACCCTCCCCCGTCCGTTCCGCCAGTCAGCGCTGGCAGAGCGGGGAGAGGGGAATCCAGCCCCTCCCCCTGTCACGGCAGAGAGCTGTGACAGGATCGAGAGGTGAGGGAACCCGGTATGTGTTCGCTCACCTCCCGATCTACTGAGCCGACCTGTGACAGTCTCATTGTCACAGGTCGGCTAAGAACTATGAGGTGAGTGGAAATCACTCATGTCCTAGTTCTCCTTTTTAATTTGAAGCTTTGCATTTCCATTTAAAATGAGAGGATTTTGCTGTTATTTCTACCTTTTGCGATTTCTAGTCTAGGTTCACATAAACCTGAGCGTGTCTGCAAGGTATTTATTTTTCCTCTTCTTCATCCTATTTTTGTTAGGTTTTTAGATAAGGATTGGGAAATTCCAGATGAACAATTTCTGGTTCCGAGATGCTTTTCCTTTTCCGAAGGATTTTGTTTTAAAAAATGGTCTATTCCTCCTGAAATTGCTCCAATTTATCATCTTAATGAGGCCTTTACTATTCCTATTGATGGCGCTCCTTCATTTAAGGATCCTACGGACAAAAGAAAATTACCTGGTTCAGCTCTTTAACCATTATTGGCTGCAGTCCTTATTTCCCAGACTGGCTACTTGGACAAAATCTTTAAATACAGAACAAGTGACTGCTGGAGTTGATCCACATTTTATTGCTTGTGTGGATCAGATGACTGTTCCTTCTCACTTAAATTGTTTCTTGCTGCTTGTCGTCTGTTGTCCAGTGTGTGTGTGGTCGTCGTGTCCCCCCCCCAATTCAGATACACAGAGCTAGCTGGTTTAAGTGCTGGGCATCGGAACCCCAATACAAAAAAGGGACATTTACCCTACGTACAAGGTCATCTTTATGAAGCTATCTTGGATTGGAATATTAAAAAGCTACTAGAGGT